GCTGATTGAAAGGAGCAGAAAGGCCCAAGGCTGGCAGGAGCAGTGGTCAAGCCAGGCAAGTGGCCCTGGTTCCAACAAGAAGAAGAATGACCTGCTCAGAGGTTGGCTGAAGGATGGTGGCCAGTGTGCCAGCTACTTCAGGAGTGCTAGCCTGCAGCTCCAGCACCTTTCAGAAGACAAAATCGCAGTGTCTTGGATCACCTGGAAGCAAACCCTGAAGAAGTTTGGCAAGGAAGAGGCTCTGGCCAGGCTGAAGAAAGGGACCCTGAAGTATAGGAAGTCCAAGACAGACAGTCGCTTCCTGGAGTTTGCTGAGGTGCTGGAGTCCAGCAGCCATGTCAAGAGCAGGCTGAGAAACACCTCTGTTGGCAAAGGTGTCAGCAAGAAGATGCTCAAAGACATGGAGGAGCTCAAGCTGGAGGACTTGGAGGCTGAGGACTTCGGCCTGGGCCGCCATGAGCTCCAGAAGATGGACTTGGACCCTGATGTGAAGAACCTGATCCACAAGCAGCAGGGCCAGGGGAGTGATTCCAGCAGTGATGCCTCCAGCACCTCAGAATCCTCTACCAAGAAGAAGAAGAAAGACAAGAAGGACAAGGCAAGGATCAAGCTGATCAAGAAGGGCAAGAAGAGCAAGCAGGGCAAGGATAAGTCTGCTTCGGCCAGAGAGGACAAGTGGGAGACCAACTCCCAGCTGGAGGATGGTGACCAGAAGGTCGACTTCAAGAAGAAGATCACCATGTTCCAGGAGGAGGTCAAGCAGGACATAGAGGTCCTGAAGAACTATGACAACAAGGGCCTCAACAAGGAGGAGAAGAAGTTCCTGGCTGCCACCAAGGAACAGCTCGACATGGCCTGCAATCAGATCGACAAGGCACTCAAGGGCTTGAAGAAGGAGGATGTGAAGAATGCCTTGCTCAGTTCCTTCCATGCCTTGAAGAGTGCCAAACAGGTCAAGAAGGAGATCGGCCAGAAGTCCAAGAAGAGGAAGCATGATGAGGACTGAGTCCAGCGCTAGCCAAAGATCCTAGATCTCAAGGCCATCGAACTTTCCAGATCCTAGTCAGCGTGGCCAGCTGCAAGCCAGAGCAGGAAAAGGTCTGCAGAGCATTGGATGCCTGGACAGGCAGGACATGTTGAGAAAACAGCCAAAGGCAGCGTGCAAGCAAGCTGTAGCCCTTGCAACCCTCCAATAAATTTTGAGAGAGCAGCTGTATGGACTACACAATGCCTGGACAGGCAGAGGCAGCACGCAAGCAAGCTGTAGCCCTTGTAACCCTCCAAAAATTTTTGAGAGAGCAGCTGTATGGACTACACAGTGCCTGGACAGGCAGAGGCAGCATGCAAGCAAGATGTAGCCCTTATAACCCCCTAATTTTTTGGAAACAGCAGCTGTATGGACTATTCGATGCCTGGACAGGCAGAGGCAGCACGCAAGCAAGCTGTAGCCCTTGTAACCCTCCAAAAATTTTGAGAGAGCAGCTGTATGGACTACACAGTGCCTGGACAGGCAGAGGCAGCATGCAAGCAAGATGTAGCCCTTATAACCCCCCCTAATTTTTTTGGAAACAGCAGCTGTATGGACTATTCGATGCCTGGACAGGCAGGGGCAGCATGCAAGCAAGCTGTAGCCCTTATAACCCCTCCAAGAAAATTTTGAGACAGCAGCTGTATGGACTACACAATGCCTGGACAGGCAGAGGCAGCATGCAAGCAAGATGTAGCCCTTATAACCCCTCCATTTTTTTTGAAACAGCAGCTGTATGGACTATTCAATGCCTGGACAGGCAGAGGCAGCACGCAAGCAAGCTTCAAGATGTAGCCCTGATAACCCCTCCAGTTTTTTTTGAAACAGCAGCTGTATGGACTATTCAATGCCTGGACAGGCAGGGGCAGACCCCTCCAAAAAATGTTGAAAGAGCAGCTGTATGGACTACTCAATGGCTGGACAGCCAAGCACCACAACAGGCATGCCAAGCTGCATTTGCAGGCTCACTTCTTTGCCCGAGCAATGAGTAGAAAAAGAAAGAAGTTCCTGGAGCCTGCTGTGGAAGAACCTTCCCCTTTGGGCTTGCTGCTGCTCCAAGACTTTGCTCTGGGGAAAATACCAGCCTCCCAAGTGCAGAGGGTGGCACTGTGGAGCTTCATGGGGGCCATGGGCAGTCATGGAAACAGCAGCCAGAACTGCCACCAACAGATGATGACCAAGTATTTCTCCAAAGTGAAATCACCAAAACTTTCCTATGTGACCTCCACAGTGTGGGCAAGAGATCCAGTGACTGGAGAAAAGAAAGTGGTGGAGAAAGAGCTTCCCCTCCTTATGCCTCACCATTGGATAGAATGCTTGGAGCAAAATGGCCTACTGGAAACTTTGACAGCTAGCCCCCAGGAGCTCAAGGATTTCTGGCAACAGCAAGACTTCAAGAAGAACCCGCAGCTCCTCAAGAGCAAGGAATATTGGGACAGCTTCGATGTCTTGGAGGACTTGCCCATACCCTTCCTGCTGCATGGGGATCACTGCAGCTTCTCAGAAACTGATTCATTGTATGTTGTAAGCATTCGGTGCTTGCTGACTGAAAGATCCATCAAGACTTCAGAGCTGCTTGTGGGCTGCTTGCCAAAAGAAGCTAATGCAGACACCTGGCCAGCATTGTGGAAGGAAGTGGCTGCTAGCCTGACAGCTTTGGCTTTGGGAAGGCATCCTTCAGAGGAGAGGCCACTCAGGATGCACAAGCCAGAGAAAGCCAAAGCCCCCTTCAATGATTTTCGGCCTACAGCCAAATGGAGGTCCTTGCTGAAGGATCCACCCAGGAACAGCCACAGCTTGTGGGATGTACCTGGCCTCAACCCTTGGGCTTGCAAGCTGGACCAGCTGCACACAATGTGTGATTTGGGCGCTAGTGCCCAGATGTATGGCAGCCTTTTAGCAGACATCCTGGATGAGCTGCCTGGAAAGTTCTCTGACAAGTTGGCTCAGTTGAATGTGTTGGTCTTGGAAAAATACCAAGAGCTGGGCGTGCCTGCCAGCAGAAGGCTGCCCAAACTGACCAGGTCACATCTCTATGGGCAATCCAAATATCCATGCTTGCTGCATGTCAAACTGATGTTGCCTTGGCCCTCAGCCAGATGTTCAATGGCTCTGAGCTTGGCAAGCACAGAGAGGCTGCCTGTGAAGCCCTCCAGACAATGTACAACATGACTGACTTGAAACAGTGGGTCTTTGACAAGAAACAGTTCAAGAGGTTTGATCGATGCCTGGATCTTTTTCTCTTGCACTACGGCTTTCTTGCCAAGCAGTCCTACAGTGCAGGTCAGACAAAGTACAGTGTGGTTCAGAAATTCCACATGCTGGCCCATTTCGGCAGGCAAAGCAAGTGGATGACTCCCAGAACTTGCTGGGCATATGGCCCTGAAAGCTTCATGAGTGTGTGCAAAGGTATTGCCAGCTCCTGTGATAGGGGCACTCCTCCCTGGATGGTTGCACAGAAGGTGTGTGCCAAGTTTAGCTTGGCTTTTGACCTGCTGCTCAAGGGTTGGCTCGACTTGGGTCTGGAGGAGTGAAAAGAACCTGGCATCCAGAAGATATGTCTGGAGAGACATTGGCAAGGCAGTGCTGTGTCTGGAAAGACAGTGTGTGTGTGTGAGACAGAGAGAGACAGACAGACAGCAGAAACAGAGAGAGAGGGAGGGAGAGAATGGTGAGGAGAGGGGGTGGAGACAGAAAAGACACCAAATCCTCGATTGAATTTCAGGGATCAATAGCAGCAGCATCGGCAGCCATGACGGATGTCGATGAATGGATCCGCTGTCTGCGCGTCAACTTCGACCACATGCACAGCGAAGTCGCGAAGCAGATTGACATGATCTGGTGCAAGTTCATCGAGATCGAGGCGGTATTGCGAGATGTGAAATCCAGTTGTTCAAAGCCAATCTTTTGACCTTGTGGTTTTCCCTTTTTGTTTTTTAGTCGAGATTCCAAAAGGTTAACCTTTCATGTCCAGGTCCTTTGGGCAAGTGAGGAAAGATGAGCAGAAGGTCGTGACAGCGATCGCCATTAGGAGCATGAAGAAGAAGACCATGAAGGGCAGAAAGCTTCTCAAGGCGGTGAAGGCCTTGAAGGCCATGAAGGCCTTGAAGGCCATGAAGGCCATGAAGCCCACCGCCGCCAGGTATAGCTCTGTGAGTCGCGGCTCAATGCAGTGAGTATGAACTCATTTTGTTAGGCTTCGCTCAGGCTTCACTGGTGCTGGGAGGCAAAAAAAAACGCCAGCGACGCATAAATGTCATTCACAGCATGGTGGGCAGCACACTGACCACCGTCACACAATGTTTAACCCTCTTTTGATCTTGCACTCAGTTGCCCGAACTTGAATACTTGAACCACACAATGTTTAAGTTTAACACTCCTTTGAACTTGCACTCAGTTCCAGTTCCCCTCAGTTGCCTGAACTTGAATTTGCACTCAGTTCCCCTCAGTTGCCTGAACTTGAGTTGGCCGAACTTCCGCTAAACTCGCTGAGTTCGCTGAACGAAGGCCGCCAAATCCTCGATTGAAAAAGTAGAATCCTCGATTGAAAAAGTAAAATCCTCGATTGAAAAAATAACATCCTCGATTGAAAAAATAACATCCTCGATTGAAAAAATAAAATCCTCGATTGAAAAAAGGAAATCTCGATTGATTTTAACATGGATCTTTGTTTGGAGAGAAACCGGTCTTCGATTGAATTTTCTATTGATTTTTTAAGAAAATTGAAATTCGATTGAAAAAACCAATCTCGATTGATTTTTTTCAATTGGGCAGCCTTTGGGTATTGGCTGGAGGGAAAACGAAACGGAAAACACCCACAAAAAAGCACGACAAACAACACATGCTGGGGACCTTCATGAAGAGCAGAAGAATGGACAAACCCAAAGGTCAAACGGTTGGCTTTGGGCTTTGGCGAGTTTAAGTCATGGGCAAAGATGGTACCAAACGTTGACCCAATTGCAGCTGCAGGTGCCACCATCGTTGGCACCGGCAACTCCAGTTGCAGCGTCAGCGGTAGGGAGTCCAGCCACCGCCAATCCTCGTCCTGGGGGACGTATGATGGACACTTGCCGTCTATTCTGCAACCTCCTTCGTTTAGTGTGTTTCTTTTTTTGGGGTTGCTTGCAAAATAGACTGCTGTCCATGGCACGGGGAGCAAATCTGCTTTTGACCTCTATTTTACCTTTTTGGCTTGTCGGCCACAGGTTGGGAGTTGGAAAAGAAAAGTCCTTTTTGGGGGCCTAGCTTGGCATGCCCCAGGGATTTCTAACAGCAGATCACAAGGCGAGCGCTGCTTGTCAGCAATGTGCTTGGAATGTGCTTGGTGGAACCCCTGCAATGTGGCACGGTGACCTTTAAAAATGTGCTAGCGCGTGGTAATCGTATCACGTGTCCGCTGGGGCCGGGACCCTCGTGCAAACTGGACGATTGCACTGGTTTCAAAGGCAAACGCCTGGGCAAGCAATTGCTGCAAGCAACGTCAAAAATGCACGGCGACTGCAAATGAGGGCGCCTTTGTAAAGGGGCCAGTTTCCTCGTTGCTTTTGGGCGGGCAAACTGAAAACTGGTTGACACACGTGTCCTGCAACTCCGCAACCGTCGCCAAATACTTGGAGGACACCTTCTTCTCCGGGTCGGGCATAGGCGCGCCCCTCTTGCGCCACCGGAGCAAGTTGAACTCGTGGTTGCCCTGCACCTGGACGAAGCGCAATCCGGCAAGCAGGAAAGCCAGGGAAGTGAGGCCCAACACGAGCCACAGTCAATATTCACTGTGTCCCCTGACATGGAATTTGGTGAGCAACCCGGGGCCATGTCATCCCCTTTCGTACAGCAAATGACGGTCTATATTGACCCCTTTCAAGGATCCAAAAGCCTTTCCTTTTGTGCAACAGCTATACAGCCGCCATTCCATGTCAAAAGAAAATGACGCTAGCCAACGTAGAGGTCAACAGTAGAAGAGCTTCGTTGGAAAAGACGAAGCAACCCATACCATGAACCCGATGTGTTGTGTGTTGGCTTGTTGGTCCACAGGTAGTACATATGTGGCATAGACTTTTCAAAGATATCCTACAGTAGGGGGCTTGCACTCTCGCCTCTCATGCTGAGATAACTAGTATAATTCGACTTGGACACCAACTGAAAAGGCAGACCATAGTTGTCGAAAAAGAACAATAATACAATAACATATCGTAGAAGTAGAGACAACCCAAAATTGCAGATACCTATGACCCCCTTTCAACAAGCGGCGCATGCAGGGTGCCAATCCTGGAAAGCCTCCGTATGAAGGCCCTCAGAGAACTGAACGATGGCTTTGAAGCTGGGTTATCGGTGTATGAGAAGCCAAGGGTCTCTTTCAGACTCTCAAACAAGTGGTCACCAACACTGGAGACGAGGTGTTTCGAACACGACAGGTGGGCATGGTGTCATGACAGGAACCCTCGAAAATAATAAGGGTTGCATATGACATTGTGGCTTTCTTACAGAACCACAACCTGCTATGCCGACTCCCTGACGTATGACTACCGCATATCCACATATTATCACATACCCTCATGCCCACACGCTTACCCACACACCCACACAGCTACTCACACACTCATGTATCTATGTATACGTGACTTACATCAAGATTTAAATATATATATATATATATTTATTTATTTATAAGATCTGTATTCTCGCATCTCCATCTCCTCCACATGGGGGAAATAATCCCGTCGCCTTGACGGACCCGACTCGACACTCGCCGGGGTGCAGCTCTGGCGCCGTGCGCGCGGGCGATGCGTAAGGTCTCCCTGGGCGCCGGGCCTCCGGGGGTGGCGGGGCATTGAGCAGCTGGGGTTCATTTTTCCCCTTCAGCTTGCCTCGCATTGGTTCAGATTGACTTGCAAGTCCCTCAAAACCATTTACCTTCAGCTTCCCCGGAAAAATGGGTTTAGATTTAGAGTTGGGCGATTTCGAAACCAGCCCTCTGCAAAAGCCAGGAGGTCAAATGCCCAACCACCAATCCAAAACACCAGCGAAGGGTTGCCTGACTCCTCGCAAAAAAGAACAACAACACTGCAACTTGGTTATCCCGGGGATGGCTTGTACAACTTGTGAAAGGTGCTTCAAAGAACAATAGGCATCTGAAGGGAACCAAAGTCAAAGCCAAGTGATTGAAGGCGTCCACATACCCACAACTAAATTGCGGTATGTGCGATCACGTACGTGTGTCAAAAGTTGTGTGTCGTGTTGGACAATCCAAAGCTGGACGTATCTCCTACAGTTTTGAAACCTCACGCGTCCTTCTCGAGGCGAGATAAGATTCACATAACGCCTGAACATTTGGCAACGCTGCATCTCAGGATCAGCTTCAACATCTGAGGAATCTACTATAATATGCTATAAAGGGCTAAGTAGTTACACACATTATATATATATATTGTATGTTGTCCTATGAGCATGACTTCGTGTGGTTCCAAAATACCCCACAACCCCATTATTGTTGCTACATTACTATGACTCACAATTCACAAGCCATAAATGCAAATCCCGTGAGGGACCTTCATGGGTGAGCTATCACCAGAGCCTGTTAGACTCGTAAGGAGTGTGGTGCCTGGCAGGACGAGCGAGAGGCCACCCAGCCAATGGTCTACTCTTGGGTTCGATCATCAACAGGCTCGCGGTCAATCGTTTGAGTTCGAGTCTGGTTGCATTTGGGTGAATGGCAGTTGGCCTGAAACGCGATCAAATGGGCTCAGTGCAACAGCGGCAAACAAAGATACGCACATCGGCGGTGTCCTTCCTTCGGGGATTTGCATGATACCACTCAACGAGATGACAATCATGATGATACCTTGACGATTTGTCCTTGCGATCAAAGGATTTTTCATGCCATGGATTCGTCCTACACAAAAGTGGACCTGGGCCTGATCATATTGGTGCTAGACCCGTGCAAGTGGCCATTGTCCTTCTGATCCCTCTTCAAAGCGATCCAGAAGACAACTCCCCATCTAAGATGCATTCAAAACCCCCTGGGCAAGATACCCGAACACACAAGGGATGGGAAAGACCGCCCAGTCTAAGGTCCATTCCCCCATAAAACCCCACAAAAGCGGGATGGAATCTATCTGAAACACACCCATATCCAGAGAGGCTTAACAAAGTGGACTTGCATTCAAGCACTTCAAGTCTTCTCCACCAACTGCAAAATGGAGCTGTTTTCTTGAATTTGGTCACCCTCCCTTCACAATTCCGTCAAAAGGTGATCACCCCCAACGCCCTTCTGCCGGCCTTTGCCAATCAGATCCCCCACGAAGATCAGCTGGTCGTTGGACGAGAACGCCAGCGCCTGACCCAAACGCACGGCCAACTAATAGGCGTCTGCCCACAACCTGCGCAGGTAATTGAAGGGAAACCTGGAGGGCTTGGAGGATTGGTGGCTTGGTCTTCGAGGGCGGTTTGTTTGAAGTAGGACCCCCAATTTGGGCTTTTGGCGGACATCGCTTGTGCCAAGCAAACTGAGGGCCAAGCGCGCCTCATGATCTGGCTAGTTTTGACCCGTGTCCCGCCTCAAAAAGGGTATGTCACAACAGGAAGACCATGGAGGACCAGAATATGCTTTCCGTGTTCTTTTTGGCTTCCATGTTCAAACAACATGAAAAGAGTACCAATCCTCCAAAAGACACACCCATTTCTAGTTCGTGACATGGAGAAGGGTGTGAAATTGGGATGGATTCCCTTTTGATGCTGAAAGGTAGCACATGGTAGCCGCAAAGGCAAAAGGAACTTTCTGAAAACATGGAAAAGGGTTGTTGCGCTTCCAAAGGTAGCTTGAAGGGAACCAAGTTTCAGGTTCCTTTCTGGATGTGTCTTTTGCTTCTGGCTTTAAACAAAAATCAGACGGACATCAATCCACTCGCGCGCCTCCAGCAGTCTGGAGAGCTCTGCGGCGCAGCCGTGCACATCTCCCACCACAACTACACGACCTGCGCAACCCAATCGACCCAGGCTTTCGCAAAACGGCACCCAAATGGTTTGCTTTGCTTTGCGGTGCTTTGTCGTGCTGCGTTTTTGTTACTTTTGTGCCCGTTGGTGCAATTTGTGTGTTTAGTTATTGTTTGCTTGTTTGCTTGCCTGCTGGGTTGCCTGCTTGCTTTGTTGGATTGGGTTGGGCTGGGCTGGATTGGGCTGAGTTGGGCTGGGCTGGATTGGGCTGGGTTGGGCTGGGCTGGATTGGGCTGGGTTGGGCTGGGCTGGGTTGAGTTGGGTGTGGGCTGGCTGGCTGCCAGGCTGGCTGGCTCGCTGCCAGGCTGGCTGGCTGGCTGCCTGGTTGGTTGGTTGGTTCCTTGCGTGCTTGCTTGCTGTTTGGGTGGGTGGGTGGGTGGGTGGTGGGCGGGCGGGCGGGCGGGCGGGCGGGCGGGCGGACGGGTGGGTGGGTGTGGGTGGGTGTGGGTGTGGGTGTGGGTGGGGGTGGGTGGTGGGTGGGTGTGGGTGGGTGTGGGTGGGTGTGGGTGGGTGTGGGTGGGTGTGGGTGTGGGTGTGGGTGGGGGTGGGTGGGTGTGGGTGGGTGTGGGTGGGTGTGGGTGGGTGTGGGTGGGTGTGGGTGGGTGTGGGTGGGTGTGGGTGGGTGTGGGGTGGGTGTGGGTGGGTGGGTGGGTGGGTGGGTGTGGGTGTGGTGGGTGGGTGTGGGTGTGGGTGTGGGGGTGGGTGGTGTGTGTGTGTGTGTGGGTGGGTGGGTGGTGGTGGGTGGGTGGGTGGTGGTGTGTGTGGTGTGGGTGGGTGGGTGTGGTGTGGGTGGGTGTGGGTGGGTGGGTGTGGTGTGGGTGGGTGGGTGGTGTGGTGGGTGGGTGGGTGGGTGGTGGGTGGGTGGGTGGGTGGGTGGGTGGGTGGGTGGGTGGGTGTGGGTGGTGGGTGGGTGGTGTGGGTGGGTGGGTGGGTGGGTGGGTGGGTGTGGGTGGGTGGGTGGGTGGGTGTGGGTGGTGTGTGGTGTGGTGTGGGTGTGTGGGTGGGTGGGTGGGTGTGGTGGTGTGGGTGGGTGGGTGTGGGTGGTGTGGGTGGGTGGGTGGGTGGGTGGGTGGGTGGGTGGGTGGGTGGGTGGGTGGGTGGGTGGGTGGGTGGGTGGGTGGGTGGGTGGGTGGGTGGGTGGGTGGGTGGGTGGGTGGGTGGGTGGGTGGGTGGGTGGGTGGGTGGGTTGGCTGCTTGCATTTTGCGCACGAGGTAGGCAGGTAGGTAGGTAGGTAGGTAGGTAGGTGGGTAGGCAGATAGGTTCGCTCATTGTATGTGAGTGTATGCGTTGTCTATGTCAATGTCGATGTATGTATGTCAGTGCATGTAGGTCAATGTGTCTCGCAATGCATGTATGTAAACGTGAGTATGTACGCCCATGTATAGGGAAGGTATGATTGCATGTGTGTCTGGCTGTCTGTATGTCTGTGTGTCTGTATGTCTGTATGTCTGCATGTCTGCATGTCTGCATGTCTGCTCGTCTGTTGTCTGTTTGTCTGTCTGTCTGTCTGTCTGTCTGTCTGTCTGTATGTATGTGTATGTATGCATGTATGTACGCATGTACTGATTTATACGTTTGTGTACGGGTGTGTTGGATTACGTGTGTGTATGTGTGTATGTGATGTAATGTAACGCAACGTAAAGTAATGTAACGTAGTGTATGTGTGGATGGAAGTATGCACATAATATGTATGTATGTATGTACTGTACTGTGCATAATATATATATATATATATATATACTGTGCATACATATTTATACATATACATACGTGTGTATATATATATATGTATATATATATATTGTATACTGTATATGTGGATCTTTCTGGCTGCCTGTCTCTCTGTCTGTCCGTCCGTCCGTCTGTCTGTCTTTGCATCCGTCCGTCTGTCTGTTTGCGTGTGTGTTGTCTGTCTCTCTGTCTGTGTGTATGTCTATCCGGATTCATGTCCACCACTTGCGCCTTCACGGTGCCCTGAATGCGCTGCTTCGGAGGAGCCGCCTGGCAAATCCAACCGTTCGCGAAGGCAGAGATACACTGGATGCCCCGGACATTGCTGTCAAGTGTGGTTGCTTTACTTGCAGTAAGGGCATCCACTGCAATTACATGGACGAACTCAGGCATCGCAAGGGCGTTGCTTGTTGCACCCGGCTTTCCAAACCGCCATGATACAAACCCAATACACCAGACTATGACGCCAAGCTCCAGTGCATGGTTTGCGAGGAGTGGGTACACGGTAGCGCGGCACCAAACCGTAGACAAAAACAAAACACCTTTCAACTGGTAGTTTGCCACATGGCTGTTTTTTGAGGTACTTTGGTTAGCTTTGCTTTCAAGAAACAGTGATAGAAAGGAAACCACTTATCTTCTTGGTCCCTATTGAAGCCAAACCAACAATTCAGCTATCACCACCTCAACTACGTAGGTGGTAAGAACCAACCTGGGACCTGGGCCAGTTAGACCCCCTACAGTCAAAAGGTCAAAACTCCAACACCACATGGGTCTGGGACAAAATTAGAGCACCAGGGGACTGCAGGTTTAGGTCCATGTTTACATTTACCAGGGTTCCATTTTGGATATCTATTTTTGACCCACACCCACACGGGTGCAAAGGAGGTAACCCACGAAACAACCCAAGGGAAAAAACGAGAAAGGTACACTCCCTCAGACGAAGATGGAAGCTGCCAGGCCACTGTGAATGGAACCCCCTCTTGCAAAGGGGGTCCTGGGAGCTTCCATGCTGGGGGAGGCTACGTTGAGTCTGGCAACGCGTTAACTCAACGCGATGTCAACGCGACTCGGCCTACACGTCGGGCCGCGAGGATTGGAATCGCCGGCTTCCGCGCCTAGGAGACAAAGGCCCAGGAGGAAGGCAGAGAGGGCCAAGGCCTGGGGAGTGACAGGAAATACAAACACTCCTGTATATATCTATGCTCATATGCTAGATAATAATGTGTATATATATATATATATACATATCATACATGAATAAATTAACAAATACATACAACACAAACAAACAAATGTGTACACATATACCTGCAGATATACATATTAATATATCTATATTGTGTATAATATAGGGTCGGTACCCCCCCCCCCCGCCCCCCCTCCATCCCCCTCCAATAAACGCGCCTGAGAATTCGAGCGTCAAACCACTTGAGCAAAACAGTTTCTTGAAGCAGTTCACGCGCAATTCTGGCTACCAGAATCTGGTGGCAGATTGGACTGCATTGTTGTGTGGTTGGTTTCAACAGAAGCAGTTGTTTTGAGGATGCTGCAAGATGATTCAGTTGCAAAAGGGGTCAGCTTGCAAAATAGAATGCCAAACAAAACCGCAAGAAAACCACAAAACCAAAACCGCATATGTCTGCTGGTTCGGGGGAAAACAAATCCAGGAACAAACGAAACATTGATCCCAGCTATCTGCAGCTATCTGAAGAGAACCAGTGGAACAGCAAGTCGAAAGGGTGCATCTCGCAAGTTGCTGTCCAAATAGATTTAGGGGCTTCAGTTACGACCGTGGCACGAGCGGACTTCAAGCACTGGATGCGTCAACACAGGCGACCCTCTCGAGATGGCTTCAAAGAACACTAATCATGGTTTTGCACCTACTTGTATACCTGTCAGAAGAACTTCCAAGTACGTCAGTTCACACGCCTTGACCTTTCTTCACTCCCCAAACATGACTAAGTGCCCACCACCCCACCCCACCCTCTTTGTTGCAAGGAGCCAGGAAAAGCTTCGGCGAGAGGAACAGCTTGCGGCACGCCATGGCGGCGAACGGCTCAACGTCGCGGGTTGCTAAAGTCTTGCGACACAAAAGAGACACAGAGCAAACAGGGAGGCCACAAAGCAACTGAAAGGGATTGAAAGTTGCTCATGAACACCTGCACTTGACAGGGCCGCATACTTCGACCAGCATAAGGAAGAGACGGTCGCAAGAAAGGTCGTGTTCTCCGTTTAAATTCTGCCACTCTCTCTCTCCTTCCTATTGTGTCAGCATCCCTGAATAGGACTCTTCTTTTCACCCAACTTCGGGCACAAAGGCTCACCAGTGCGAATGTTTGCAGGTGTGTGTGTATGTGTCTGTGCAGGTCCCGAAAAAATAAATATTAAAAAAAAAATGTTCCTCACAGAAACTACCTCAACATAGCTGGTAGAATCCTAGTGATGTTCAGAATGGCCGACATGTCTCTCTTCAGGTCGGGAAGTCTGTGTCTCTCCGCAAGAAGGCCCGGCAGCATCCAGATAGCTCGCATCAGGCATATTCAGTCGTTGATGGTTGCCCGCATCACCAGGGGTGTGCTCATTCTCGCCGGGCGAGAATGCGCTAATTAAAGTCGCATAAGTTAATCCACGCTCGCTCGGCATGCCTATCATGACCTGAAGTGTTGCAGCTAGCTTTTGGCCTGTTGGGATAAATCCCTGTGGATCTGGCAGGGGTGACATGTTTCTCAGCCGCATTCCTAGAAATCCAGGCGCATCCGCAAGGCTTTTTGGTGGAATGGAGGTATTATCCTTTCCAATTCCGAACCGAATCGAGGGTCTGGAAAACACATGATCCATTCCCTTTGGGCCTCTGGAAAAATTTGAAGTGGCTCGTTTGCACCCAGGAACTCACGCATGCTTCTAGTATCATGCTGTATACATCACCAGGGGGATGTGGTCTAAAAATGTCTAAAATATGCAACCCCAACAAATGTACTACATGTGTGCTCGAACGAAACACGCACCCGTATTGGACCATCTTTGCGCAAAAGGTACACTTTCGATTCGCCCAGAAACGTCAGCAACTGGGACACCTGGTGGCAAGCCACCCAGGTTGACATGTCTTTAAACAGCCTGGTTTTAGTGGCGGTAAACCACTTAGGACGGCCCCGACCCCTCTATGCATAAGACAGGCTTATTCATCCGCGGGCTCAACACTGATTCAATCGCCAAGGGGAACACAGAAAACCCGGTCCTTGGGAGGCTCTGGTTCTTTCTGCTCCTCTTTGGCCACTTCCTCCTGCTCCTCTTCGGCCATTTCCTCCTGGCTGCAAAAGCGTGGCCCAGTGATCCGAAAGGATTCTTTTCTAAGGTTGCCTCTGTTTACATTGTTTACTCGGACAAACACAAAACGGTGGGCCTGAACTGGGGGGAGGTGATAGCCGATAGCATGCAATCTGTAGGACCTTGCAATGGAATTATTTGGCCAATCAGTGAGGCTCGTAGCGATGGAATCGCTCTGGCCTTGGACCGACTCCCATCTCTTGCGCGACCTGTTTTTATGTCGCGCGCGCCATCCCTTCGTGTCCAGGTTTGCCTTCCAACGCGCAATGCGGAAGCTCGGTGGTTGGTGTTGCAACTTGTTTGGGAGTCTAATCAAGGAATTGATCCAATAAGGCCCTCAACGAAGCTTGCCAGCAAATTCTGCAAGTCGCATCCTGGCATACCTGGATCCGGAACGTTTTTGTTGCAGCAAACAACACCAATGCCTACGACCTTTAAAAATGCACCCATGTCCGTTCCCATCGTGCTTCTTCACCATAGCAACCCACCACCAAGGCACACCTGGATCTTATTTTGCGGAGAAACAACGTGTAAAGTAGAAGAACAGCGTGCGAAACACCAAAGAATCGAATCTCAAAACATGTGCACAAGGACTCTTACTGAAGTGCAACTCTGCAGGTCTACTGGTCATCATTAGGCAACGCCGAACGAGATGACAAGCTTCACTGGCAGGTATCAGCCGCAACCCAGGCACGAGGGTGTCTGTGTGTCTGTGTGTGTGTGTTTGCTTGTGTGCATGCGTGCGTGTTTCTACGTGCGTGTACATGTCTGTGTATTTGTTGGGGCTTTGGTCACCTTGCGAATATCCTTGCTGAAGAAAGCTTGCAGCTTTGGCACCCTTCTGACACGAGTTGCCAAGATACCAGCCTATCACGCTTGGTTTAGTTTTGCACACACAAATAAACTCATTCACAAATGCAGCACACAACAACGAACACTTGTGCAGCTGCTGGAAAAAACACAACTTTTCAGCACGAGTGCAGCTCACTAATAATTGCAACTGTTCAGTACAAGTGAAACTAGTACAGGAAGTAAGCCTTGGCAGCTCTAGCCTGAACATCGCAACTTGGCGGCGTTCAGAACCTGGAAACGGCACTGCAGAGGCTCCGTGCTGGCCTTGTACTCACTCTATGCTGCCAGAAGGTTCCTTCACAATTCTTAGACGCAGAGCTCTTACACATCCAATTTCACGAGGCATGCGGGGAAATTTGAAGGGCATCCAGGAATTTCTCCCAAGATCACGTGATTCCTCAGCAAATATTTGAAGGGTCAATACGTATCTTTCATGGAACCCGATCATTCCCTTCTACCCATTCGCCCATCATCGGGTCAGCAGCCGAAAACTGCACGGCTCGTGTCCTCCATAGGCTGCTCCTCGGGCCGAAACTTGGACATGTTGGTTAGCCCAAACAAAACACACCTGGCTTCCCCAAGGGGTCATGTGGAGTTTGAGGCAAACCAGCAATAGACTATCAATCATAATCAGTACAGCTCCTCCAAAACAGTATATACCTCCACTGCGCACGAAGATAAAACCCTCAAGAATCCCCTAACAAGGGATGAAAGGCGACTTGCTTTGCATTGACAACTTTCAACCAGCGACCGGGAGCTCAACAAATGTTGAAAGACGAGTTCATGTTCGAATGGCCCAAATTGTGCGAACCTCAAACCATAACATGATGCCAAAAGAGATCCCTGGGCCAAGAACGGGTAGCCCCGCTCCCCCGCCAAAAAACGGGAGAGTGCTCAAAAGGAGGTTCCACTAAATGCTTCAAGTTCCGTGTAAGTTCTCAAATCTGACATGTCTGATTAGCTGCAAATGTGTGTAACAAAAATCACCGGATTTCTTCACCTGCTTCTGAACGAAAGCAAGTCGAACCCAGTGTCTAACCCTCAAGTTAGCTCCAGCAACACCGGCGTTTTTTTTGCTGAATTGCCCACCTCCGACGCCATTGCAAGGCCTCGAGATCGAGCGACGTAGGGCACCGAGCGGGCTTGGATTGTGGGTGGGTCGCCAGGTCCCAGGAGGAAAAATAACATCATCATTACATAGGTGTCTTTTTGGTGGAATAGATGGTCCTAGTAAATGGACCAATGGAACAACACCAATGTGAACCAGAGCAATCTATTTCTAACCAAACTCACCTTCGTAAAAAGGACACCTATGATCAGGTATTTTTCCCGGTATCCCCTGGAACATGTCCAGAACCCTGGCCCTGAGGCGCTCCGAACCACTCGGAGCCTATCTGGGCAGAGGCACAAGCTTTCAGCTGTTGCGGAAGAAGCGACTGCGATGAAGTGGAGACAAATATAGCACGAGTAGTTTTGTTTCCCAAGAGGATCATGGGAAAACTAGAGCCCATCTCTGGCTTGTGTGGCAAGCCTACGTCCCTGGTGATTGTGGCAAGTCTTGGTTGTCCCCCCATGTGCTCCCCAAACCAACCGAACACGCCAAATTTTGTCAGTTGCACGTATCTAACAGAAGTAGGCCACCCCGGACCCTCCGAAAGCTAAACAGCTTGAGGTCTTTGAACTGTCAAGCAAAACCCAGTTGCCCTATGATCCTGGTCAAATGCTTGGGTGGATCCTTTTTGTAAACAGCCCAAAGAGAATGGGACAGTGTGCCAACTGGCTTCAGGTTCACTGATCCCTCCCTTCAACCAGAATTTGGCTCCCAATCACTTGGGAGGGCGATACTTTTGCTGAATGTTGTCCAAAATGGTTTTGAGGGAAGGAGAAACACATACCTGGGTGTGTCTTGAACTGGGACCACCAAAAATGCGAGGTTTTCCCCTTTTGGGTTTCCCTAAACAACCGCAAAGGGGGTTCACTCACAAAAAGTCACATCCACCTTTTGCCAATGAGGTTGCCGAAAAGAACCAGCCCGCTTGCGACCATTTCTGTGGACCTTCGCCCTGCCACGTGATTCACGCCAACCGATCAGCAGTGTTGCCCACTTGGGCCACCAATGGATGGATTCAAGGATTCCTCAGTCAGTAGAGTCATCATCAAAATATGGTACGACACTTTCCAACCAGAGCCTACGGTAGCGAATGAAATTTGCGGGACAGCCCCCTACAAACCTTCACTTGCCCAGGTTTTCGATTTGGCAGCCCAACCCCGCGGATTTCCCTGCGAGAAAGACAAACAAATACAAGGCCCCTGTTTTGATGCTTGATTTGAAGGGAACCCCCGTCACAAGATTCACAAACAACATCAACAAACACCGATGGCACTATGGCAACTCATGGAGCTGCACTGCAACAGGGATCCTTACATTATACACCTGTATATTGCCTTGTAAATGGTGGTGTCCCTTTATTTTGCTGGAAAAAGCCATGTTTCAAATGGGCAACATGTATCTTTTAAGGAGCCCTGTGCAATTCTCGCTCCACTGGAGGCATGGAAACCAGTCCTTCCGATCGTTCGATCCCATCGCCCCGCGCCTCTCCGCAGCCGGGCGGTGAGGCGCAACCGTGCCACCCCTCTAAGGCACGGTTTTGGGACGCGCGACACGGACGGCGTGAGAGAGCGGTCCAAGAGGGGTATATCCTGAACTGGGTGCCAATAAAGAGGTATGAAAAAAAGAAAAATAAGAATCCCCCACTTTTGGTTTCCATTTGGCACAAAACATAATGAACAATTTGGCCCCAGGAAGGGAAACCGAGAGAACACCGGCCGCCTGAATGGGCACTTTTAAGCGCCCGGGGTTCACTCTGA